ACCTACGTTTCGGTCGTATAATGCCTTATCGGCACACTTTAGGTGTCGATAATCAAACAGTAAAATTCAGTTTTTACTCTGAAAGAACAACTGCAATTGTAACATGGAGGAAACTTATGTCACGTGCACGATATCATATAACACACTATTTCTGCGTTTATTTGAAAACATGTATCATGAACTACTGTTATTGATTTATATTCTTATAAAATTCCTATTGAATGATTTTTATAAAAGCGGAAAATAAGAGACCATACATATAACACAATACGTTCTATAAATATCAAAGGAAGAATATTGTCAGGTAATCGTTTATTTGAACAGATGCAAGCAAGTCATCTGGATTATTGAAATTAAAAATCGCTTGAAGAAGAGTTAATGGATGATAATCCATGTTTTTCTATGGAAAATGACAACATAAAAATTGGACAATTGTTGAACAACTTTTTACAACACAATTTCATTTGGACGATATTTGATAGGGGGATAAGAAGAGTAAATGTAACTCGTTTGTAGACGGATTACAATTTGCGAGCGATTCGATCGTGCTCTACCTACGTGCATGTGAATGTTGCAAATTATGCTTTTGTTGAACTGGGACAACGATGGAAGCGTTAAGAAGATTGTTTTTGATGTGAAATTGATTCGTATCCGTAATAACAACTTTGAACTGGCGAAACACGATGATACTGTATCCAGTGAACAAATAATTCTTTGTAGAACTATTTGGAATCATGCCAGATAGCTTGATGGCAACTGAACGAAAAAGGAGTATTTTTAATGCAGTTTCGAATCGCACACAACAATTTTATCATGAATTTTAGATAAACTGTTTTTGTGTATATTTTTTAATTGTTAAAAAAATGCTGTTAATGTATATTTTAGATTAACAATGTTTTTGGATATTACCCTACAATACAGGATATTAAATAATTGGTATGAAATTATTGTTTCATTCATTTATACAAGTCAAATAAATTATAAAAATCAAGTCCATGAAATAATTACGTGTTACTTTTATTAAAAAAAGATTTTCAATAAAGGTTGTTATATCTATAGATGATATTATAGGATTCTGTAATAACTAAAACGATAGATGATACAGTAGGAAATTACAGCAGGAATTTGAGTGAATTGTAAAGTGTGCAACAAAACGGCTGGTAAGAATGAGTTTTTGAGGTCGGTATTTCAGATTATCTACCGATGATAAAAGAATTACTAAGCTATCCATAACTGATAAACTCTTGTTTAGAGCTTTTTAAAGTTTGCTAAAGATGCCCCTTCTAGAATGAAATTTCAGCGGTCCTTTTTGCATCCTGGAATCTGCTGATTTCGTTAATAAGGCTTTTCTAGCAAATCCTTGCTGTGGATGATGATATAGTAGGCTCTCGTTATATTACCGTAGACAGAGCTGTAGGGTCGTTCATTAACTTACATGTGAAAGTATTCTGATATTGAATCGAAATTTCACGTGTCAAAATACTTCGGTAATATTAAATATACTAAAGTGAAGAATTACCACCCATCAATTCAACTTACGTTAACTTTAATTGTATAGAACTGAAGAAGGAAATTTATTGGAGAAAGTTCTCTGCTCTCCACCTCCGAGTAACCATGTGACAGCTAGCGATCGATCAAACCGTGTTGAACATATTATTGTTTCTTAATTTTTTTTCTTTCGCGTTAAGTAAACTGATTGTCTAACACGTGAAAGTTACATTTTATCTCTGACCCTTTTCTTCCATATTCACTTTTTTTTCTAGGCTGCTTCTTAGTCTTTCAACAGATTTCCTACGTTTTTTTTTTTTTTAAATACATTGGAATTTGTCAAGTATATTCAATTTTTTATGAAACGTCTTCTAATAATAATACAAGGAAAAAAATTGAAGCTGATTCCAAAAGGAACTCTCCAATAACACCTGACAGTAAAATGTACGAAACTGATATTTTTCAAAATGTTTCTAATCCGCTAAGAAAACGTATCTATATTCGTATTTATATCATTTTTCTTCATCTTTTCGATGACTAAAGTATGCTATTTTCATCATCTATTTGAGAAATATCCTGTACGAGTGTAGATACGTAACCCATTCACGATGAATTTAATAGCACGTTTAGGTGAGCTCTCGCCTGTTAACCGGTCGCACTTACACGCTTCTGCATCACATAAATTACCAAGGACATCCGTGCCATTTACAAAGCTGAGCCTTGATGAGTCAAATCGCCTGATTACCATATGTTTACCGTGCGCCAACTTCTATAGCAGCTGACTGCAATAACGTTGGATAAATTATAGACCCGTAATTCATTCTGACTCTCGTAGGAAAAGGAAACGCTCGTGAAGTTTTCACTCAGTCAGTCGTCGGTTAATCGTACGACTTTTCACTTATATTAATACGCCGATGTGTTCATTGCTATACTCGTACGACGATTAAACTGCACCCTCCATAACGATCTAAATTCTAACGATACGCTTGAAAGATAAAACTTATGCACCGGATAGAAAGCAATATCGTAAAGTGTTACATCTTATTACAGCTCTGTTATGATTGCCGTATAATGATCTTCATGAATTACAAGATTAAATAGCGCATGACAGAACATTGCTCCTCTAAGAGGCTGATAAACGAATAAAATTGTTTTTAGATACCAACTCGTTAAGTAGGTGATTAAATTATTTAACTGGAGAATATTTTCAAATTGATAAATTAAATAAATACTTTATGAAATAAAGTTGCAAATAATTACTTCTGTTTCAGAAAATTGAATCTAAAAGCTCTCTTAGAAAACAAAACACTAATACTATCGTAATTTTGTATTCGGTGTATAATGATAGATGCAAATTTTATCAGCCATCTCGGTTAAATAGGATACCATTCAAATTAAATTACCTAGTATCTCATTTCAAATAGTTATTCAGGATAGAAAGAATTATTTCGAAATAATTTACTCGATAAGATTACTTTGGAATGTATTTCTTATTTTGCATTTAAAATAATCTTTATCGATGTCTGACAAGAGCATAGCACATTATGGCACATGATATTCATGTATCGTGTAGATACTACTGCAAAGAAGTGGTACAACTTATAAATTTAAACGTAGTTGTCTGCGATATTTATGAGGAAGTACCTAGGCGGCAGTTTCCGTCATTTATTAGCGCGAACTTATCTACGATTGGTCGGCTGGTTCGTTGCGATTGGAAACGTCGAACGTGGCTCGATATAAATTACGATCGCTATCTCTCGCCTAGTCACTATCCATACTACTCAGATGCCCGTTCGAAATCCTGCTAATCCCGGGAGCGACTATCGATAACCTGGTTATATTTTGCCCGTCGACTCCCACTTTCCTTTCGAATCTCATTTATCTGTCATTGCGAAACAATACTCGGGTATTAGTCATCGTGAAATTCAAACCGAATTTTTCGAGGAAATATCATCGACTGAAATGAAATGAAAAGTTATTAACCAAAATTTGTCTACGAAGATATTTTATCAGCAAATAATTTCTACCTGAACTGATAGAAAACGTGGCAACAAATGAGGATATAAAATGAAAGAAGGAACGATACATTCTCAATCTAGAGTATCGATTCCGTAGGATGCAATCCATTCCGAAAGGATTTAATGCAGCACCGTTTATTAGCTCCTCCTTATTTATTACTGTTCATTCATTTAGATCGGGAATGCTGAACACACGGACCGAATATAAATTACGATCGCTATCAGCTACCTTGTCGCTACATGTACCACTCAGAAACCCACTCGGAGTTGCGTTAACCCCGGCAGCAAACTTTATCACCTGAGAATTTGTTGTACGTTCATTACGCCAATTCCTTCATCCTTCTAATTTCAAATTCCCTGTCTTAATACCGATTTCCCTCTTATTAAACTTCACCTTTGATTCTTTCTTCCTGTTCATCTCTTTATTGACAAAACGTTTCTAATCTTAACATTATCATTAGATGTCCCTTAAGGGTGTCATGAAAGCCGATGTTGAAAAAGCAACATCAATATGCAAATTAAAGATTCATGAAAAAGCTATGAAAAGATTAATATCTTTGATTAGCCCATTAGATCGGCCGATCAACATCGCATCTATTAGCGTCATTTCTTACTTGCGTAATTAACGCCAAGCGTCAATAACAATAATGTCCGTTAACGACAGAAACTATCGAGTAAATTTAATTATTTCCCCGCTCGTACAACGCCATCATCTCGACCTGAATAATTTATAAAACATCGGCGGTGAAGATCCAATAATCATTTGAAGCGGCACCGTTTCAAGCCCCGAGGGCTTTGGCCTTTATAATTAGGCAATGAAACGAATTGTGCTTGACGTCCATATCGACTACCTAACTTGAACCTGACTAACGAGCTTTTCTGTTCTTCCTCCACACCGGCACAAACACCCATACACACTTGGCTGTTAATAAATCGTCTATCCGTATCTTCGTCATTATCGGCAAACGTTTAACTTGGCCGCAGGTTTCGTATACATTCAATCGAGTCATCCACCGATGATTTATATTATGTTAGAACCCGCTGGAACTCGGTGACAGCCGTATTGTAAGGAAACAAAACGTTACTGTCGATAAAAGATAGCGTTGTTGAGAAATGAATATTTATTACTGAAGAAATTTACAATCCTTTGACGTGCCGTCATGGATTTTAAAGACAATACGGCACATTTTAACACAGACAAAAGAATAAATAGAAACTTTTGTTTAGAAATAGGTTCATCTTTTAGATAAACAACTTTCGCAATATGATTTGTATATTGAGATTCAAAATTAAATTCAAGCAAATTTACTACCAAAAGTTCTGCATACATTTGTAAATAGATGCAATTTTGTTTGCGCATACTATTGCTGAATGAAATGTGAAAATGTATGCTTCTATTAATAAAAGTTGGAATGTTATTCCTTGTAAATACATTTACTTTTCAAATTAATAAATGTATACATTAAATGAATTAACGCTTTTACTGTGACATACATAATTCGAGGATTTCTTAAATGATGCCATAAAATTAAATTTTATTATCCGTGCACAGATATAACCAATTGAAACGCCGCTTCTTTAATTAGCCTCTCTTGGGCGATGAACAACCTGTATCCCCCATACTCGGTAATATCGGCTATAAAGTGAACAGTTTTTAATTATAACTAATGCATACATCACTACATTTGAATACTGGAATGTAGAATTCAGAGATATGTGATATTAGCCAACAAAGTGATAATGAAAATTTATGCTTAATGGTGGAATTAAAATTCTTCTAATTAATTTATGCTCGAGCTCTTCGTTCTGCAGAATGATCTTCAATCTTACAGAATGTTTCTTTAAACACATATTTTATTTCTTTGACCTTTTCATCCAAAAAAGTTATTCATGCGTTTGAGATTGAATTATACATACATAATTTAAGTTATACACAGTTTGAGTTAACTTTCTGACTTAAAAACGAAAGGTTTTATTTCCAGTTTACATTAGCTAGTTAAACATTTTACTTAAAAAATTTCAGATAAATCTCCTGCTAATTAGTAGGTATAATTACACCGGTGTTAATGCGAGCATTACGAAATGGAAAACAACTTTTTTCAGAAGAAGCACGTGCACATTATTATTTCGTTTAGCCTGTAATAAATTGTAGCATATTATTGGCACTTTCGCATTTACGTAATGCTTCCAATGTACTAATCGCAACAGTTATTACGTTCCCTGAGTGGCATTACCTTTTATCTCTGTCTTACGTAACACGAAATATTTTACTTTCTAATCGTATTGTCAGCTCGATACTAACTAGAAATGTATACGAGGATAAGGCGAAAGGTTCCTCGAAAATTGATGTAACTATTATCTCATTATTTCTCTTTTTATATCAACATGTCTTACTATCGCGCTATTCTTGTCTTTCGATGCAGAAGAGACAAGGATTGTCCGAGTTTCTCTGTTTCGTCGCGTGAGTCCCCCAAGATCAATTCCAATTTGGGCCGTTACTCCTGTTGGCCCTTGAGGCTCCTCTGGAGACTTGGAAAAAGGCTGAAATCAGAGGATGCCAAAGCAACCGAGTATAAATTCTTTCTGTACTTAAATTCAAAGCGACGCATTCTATTAAAAAATTTTGTCTACTGAAAAATGTACGTTGTTATAACTTGACTGTACATTAACTTAAAACATAATCCAATTATTTTTCAGAGGAATCTAACATGTTCTTTTATATAAATAATCTCTATTTTATATTTTGTACCGATTTTTGCAGCCAAAATGGTCGTAAGTTTGCATCAGGGATTACGGAACACCGTATATAAAGCAGCAATGCGGGAGAGTTGTTACTGACAGCAAATATGGCCGCCACCGTGGGTGCCTGGGGTTAGCTTAACAACTTCTCTCTTACCGGGCGATGCAGCACCTTTTTGTGAATCGCTCGAGTATTATTAATCGCTTGATGTGGATTTCAAACTTATTACGCCGGCTGACATGACAGGCATCGCCTGGGGCCACCTTATCTCTCTGTTCCTCACCCACAAGCACATCACCAGCCAGTCTTCCCTTGCTTCTAGTGTTTCATCTGATGTTCGAACCAGGTGCTTGTCCAATTGTATCCCCGTTCGTTTGCTTATACGGCCTCAAACTCGTGGTGGTTATTACGTTCACTGCTTCTATTTTTTTCTTTTTTTTTTCTTTTTCTTTTTCTTTTTCCTTATGAAAATTATCGCTTTAGTCGAGGGAAATAACGTCGGTTGACTCCAGAAGGCCAAGTAAAGGTGTACGGGAACACCTGCGAGGTGCTGGTGAAACGCGTTTCCATACGTTGGATGCTATCGGGGTAATTAATCGTAATTGATACGCGCGTACGAGTGCTGATTACATGGTGTAACGTGAAATTAATGTTCGCACATTGTGAGCTTCCTTTTGCGGAATCAACGCGACAGCGTTAGCTGAACATGTAGGTCGTTCTTTCCTGATACCGATCTCGTGACTAGTGTCCATTCATTATTCTCGCGTCTTAATTGTCTGAAGATGGTACATGCAGTTATAAGCTGACGTTAGAGTTCTTAAAATACCTTGATAAAACTCTTGGGCAAACATCAACTGTTCAACATATTTTATACTACCTGGGCCACCAGTAACTTACGGTATTTATCAAAATGCAGGTATTGTACGCGTCTACTAAGTTGAGACTCGAGGTGTGAAACGCTCCGCCTAATCCTCACCACGAACCCTCGTCTAGTAGTAGTAGTAGTAGTTTCTACTAGTAGTTGTAACCTAGAGAGCGAATAGCGAGAATGCGTGTGGGTCAACTGTATAAGTGTGCGTGTCTAAGTCTGGCCCATCTAGCTCCGACCAATCAGACCCAATTCCTTAGGAGTCTCAACTTAGCAGACGCGTACAGTACAGTTAAACGAAAAAAAAAGATCTTTTGGAATGTATTGGTATAATGGAATTTTTGTAACAACGTTTTTAGTGATTTTGAATTGATTTAGACTGCTTCTTCAAATCACATAGAAGAATTAATTTTCTAGTTCTAGGAAATTCGATTCTTTCTAGTGGAACTGTTTGTTCGGGTATAGCTCCACCTGAAAATATGCTGTCCACCAATCACAAGAAGTCCCATAAGAATAATACAATCTGATTGGTCGCGCCCCACCTCAGTCCGCAAGCACTTTCAGTCGTGACGTATGATTGGTCAAAGTGATCACATCTACTAATTAGGCTCCCCTCTTGCCCTTGTGCCGTCCCACGAGACTTGTCATCAGTGGACAGTAGAAGTGGACCTATAATTTTGCAGGGGACTGTAACATACTTCCGACCTTATCGACATCGTCAGAGAAATTTCACTCGATGATCACTAGATGGCGATATAAGGAATGTTAATATTGTTTTACTCTATACTCATCGCCAGTAGCCTGAAGACACAGAAGATGATCTGAATATGATAAAAATATGATCCATACTAATCTACATGAAAAGTCCATTATCGTTAAAAAGTGGATTTAATCGGTCTTTGCATCGAGTCTTTCAACTTAAGTAATTAATTCAGCATGCGTTTATTGCAGCTATTTAAATAAAAATATGGTCATTAGTGAAGAATATCAACATCCTTAGAACTTCTGAAAATATGAACGGAGCAAACAAACGAAGTGTAATAATGAAAACTCTTCACTGATGCAAGAGTGCACAGCTGTTGATGATCGCAGGAAGTTGGGAAGAGAAATTATTAGAGTAAATCGAAGCTGCCACGGCAAGGTAGAAGTCATACGGCTAACTGGGGCTGCTACGACTCGACAGGACAAAGCAGGATACAGGAGAAGGAGAGTAGGAGACACCCCAAGAGACGTGTTCGTAGCAAACGCCCACGAACGGTGACAGCCAGCGAAGATTTATGATGCTATAAAATATCATTTGTATTTGATGTCAGAGCGAGGGCTTGATTAATGCACTGCCGGGCGCACAATGAATAACTGACGTGTTGTTATAGTAACATCAATCTGAAAGAAGCGCGGGGTAAGCCGGTACCCTGTTGATAAATTGTGTAGATTGGAGTTGCTGTTGCCGAGATACGATCAACGAGCCTTCTACGATTCAATCGTTAATGCTTCTTCGTGCATTACTAAATTATTCCTGCAAACAGCGGTCTGTTATTGAGTTACGAGGAATTATCGGAATTACTCAAACTGTACCAGCCTTTAACCTTCGCCTGTTAATGTAACATTCGGTGCGGTAACTGATATATCATTATTTTAGAGAAATAAAGAAAATTAGAAAATAGTTGCAAGCGTCGATAATTCAAAAATGTGTTAATAGTAGGACTTGATACGAATTGAATCTAACTTTACTTTTTCTTATCCAGAAAGAATAAGATGAAGGAGTAGAAGGTTTCTATACCTTCTGTACGTTCAAGATTATATATATAAGAGAAAAACTATAAGTATCGATAACAGAAATGATCGATGAAATTCTCGCTTTGTAATTGGACGACGTGTCACTTAGCAAAAGGGAGATACTGACAAACTCATAGGCCACTGCATGCCTTGGATGGCCGTGTATCGATCTCGTGAACAGCATGAAAGTGTCACGAGGTTTACAATATCGTCGAGACAGGGAACTATGTTCAGTTGTGCCCCTTATAACACGATCATTAATCACCTACCAACAATGATTTTATTCGCGGCGAGCGGTCTGGGTGTAACGTACCGTAACGCACCCCGAACGCTGGAGACGATACATCACCGCGATATGTAATATCGCTCTCGGCTTCACAAAGAAAGGGAACAGAAGAGGGCTGTCCTGTTCCGACGTATCGCCATCGACCGGTCGTCGATCGATCTTGCCGCGCGCGCCACTTTCAAACCGTGAAAACGCTCTCGCCACGGAATGCTAACAAGAAACCACGAAGCGTGAACGAAGATTGATTTCTCCTGCGCATTGTATTGCTGTGATTTATACCTTTTCTATCCGTTTCAATGTTGCCATGCATATTCAATCGTGACAGAAATTCTTTAGCAAATGAAAAACGAATTTCCATCGCCTAAGAGAAGTAAACGTGATTCTCAAAAAAATGATAACTGAAAATTTTTCTTTCACCGCTTTTATAATTTACCGATCTGAATTTTTACTAACAATCGTCAGCATAAAAATTTAAGTTAAATTTAGCTAGATCCGAAGGTATCGGTTCGTTGTTAATTATCATCAGTTTGAAGAAGGTACCGTCAAGTTGTTCAACTACGAAGCATAGATTTTCTAAGTTCGAAGCGTGAAGACAGTAAATGCTTGCTGTCACGCGATAAGCTTAAAGCGTCCATATCGAAAGCAGTTGGGGTTGTTTTATTGTATATGGGCTGATTATGCATGTAAATATTTCACTAGGGATGATTCTCGAAGAGTGGTAAAGGAAAAGAGGGGATACGCTAGAGGGGTGCGAGAGTGGAGGGGAAAATGACGGTAGGTAGAGGACGGGGATTTACGCGTGCAAGCCTGAACGCCCTTTATACGTCGTCGACGCCGTAATATATGACACCTATAGATCACAATTACGTGTAATGGCGCTCACTCTTGTATTCATGGCGATATTATTTCTGGTTGCCTTCCACGGTCGTCGTCGTCGAGCGTGCCTCTCTCTTCGTCTTACCCGTACGAGACTTTGGTCCGTATGCTAAGCAGCCGGTAATTCTAGTTTGATTTACTTGCCCGTCCACCCCGAAACTTTGCCGCAGCCTCGCTTTAAACCCTGCCGGGAAAGTGATTACGCTGGATTGGGCGATAAGTCTTTTATGGTCTTTGTTCTTTACGAGTCATACGGTAGCTATAATTTATACTCCTTAAGATACATACAGAAGGATTAGCTTATTTTCATCTTAGAAGTCGAAGTGAAATTTTGATCGTGATTCGATCGATTTATTTCAAAACGGACATAAATCTTTCGTTTTATAAATTATTTCTGTTTCATTGAATTTTTGTGTAAATTGTCTAACATATGTTTAGACAGAGCACCGTGTTGTAATATGTTTGTTTTCTGATAATTTAAGCAATCATAACGAAAGATATTCTCCGACCTTTAAAACGATACAGATCTATTGAGACTGCTACTGTGCATCAACTTTGAGACATCCTGTATAAGGTATATAAGCACCCGAATTGAAATAAACTAACCATCGCTTTCCCGATGACAAGCGATACGTCACTGTGACCAATTCACAATAGAGCATTACACCCCGAGATCGGGACAATAGTTATCTCCGGTCTGTAGAAACGTGTACGCGGTTATTATTCGCACGCGCACATGTGTCACCGCCGACGGCGACAAGTAGCACCATTGGTGCTGCCCTAAAACGCGGTTCTCGAGTAGCCGTTACGGAAACGTCGCGTCGCGACGCACGGCGCTTTACTCAATTATCCAGCACTTATACACATACGGTAATTAACAAATGAACCCTCGTTTTCGCGATAACTTTTAGAACGTTTCACGGAAAAGATAATTACGGAAAAGTAAAAATTGACTGAATTATGTATATGATTGATTGCACGTCGCTGTTTATGACAGAATATATTTGTAAAAACTGTACAAAGTTATTCATAGTTAAAGTTGAATTTTAAACGGAAATAAGTAATAAATATATTATATAACCTTCATTGAACAAGGACGATTTTAATTTGAACTAACGTCACCAGAGGGATTCGCCATCAATTATACGAAGCGTTTTACAGCGCACATCTTTTTTGAAAAGCCCTACGCCCCATTTCAATTGATCATCTTTAAAAGAACATATAAAATGTTACAAGCTTGGATGCAAACAGCAAGTTAAAAGATTCATTGCCAACTATCCTGTACGTATACAGTGGTCCATATATTGGTTTACACAGAGCTGACATTTATTCGTTACACCATCGGTAAAGTTTATTGATTCGATAATAAACGCAGAAAATAGAACGTTTGTACTAGACACAAAATACGATATCATAATCATTGTTTAAATTTGAGAACATGTGAACCACTATGTACGTCACTATACTTCAAAAACTTAATTGTTACATAGTGATACGATAAATGTTCGAACCACGAGGAAAAAAGTGTGCAACCCTGCCACGGTCATATGTGTTACGTACGATCTGGCAATACGTGCGGGCGCACAAACGAATCATTCACGTTTCCCGTAAATTGCGGATTCATGGTTTATCGGCGCACGGCCGAAACGTTTTACTGCTCGGTGATGCGCGATAACGCCGCGCTGACAGCGGAATGTTCCGGTCAAAATGAATCCAGCGAGTACACGCGAGCCGCATATGCGGGAAACGTATTCCCCTGTGTTTTGTTTTTCGCGAGCGTGCCTGGAATATTGGATGTAGCCAGTGGCGTAGGACGGAAGAAGGCCGGGAACCAGCGTCGTTTCTTCAGTAACCATAAGGTAAGTTCATCTTACGCTGTTCTACTACAGCTATTACTGCGAAGAAAGATTTGAACTGATTTATTGCCGTAAAATCAATTAGAATATAAATTGGAAGACATAGATTGTTTGTCTTCGGAGCCCAAAACCTCCGAATGGTAAATGGTGGGTCATTCAGTATCCAGGTTTAAATTTGTCTTATTTCGAGCTGAGACTGAAATACTTAAATAGTACTGCAATTGTACAGTAAATAATTGTACAAGCTAAATATCTTATTAAAAAAATCTAATATAAAATCCTATTTAAGGATATGTACGATATACTTTTAATCATTACGTTATGTTCAATTTTCTATTTCTCGCGCATGCGACAATAGCGCCATCCGCTAGATGAGGGTTGAAACCTACGTTTTGGTTTACTTATTGTGTTTTCGTTCGTTTTTATTATCACCTTGAATTTTTATTATCACATTTACTTCCAAATGCAATTAACTTTATAAATAGCTGCATTGCACTCCCTAAATGTTAAAAGTATTAATAAGTGTGAAATTAAGATGTTTAAAATATATTATACATTATTGATAAATGACAACAGGTTTTTCATTATATTAACTGAGAGGATATACAAATACCAAATGCTTAATTATGCGGGTTTCGATGCAGGATTAAACATATCCTGTAATTTATCATGAAACACACAGTTATCTGGTAAAACATAAATTACCATTTCCCTCTTAACCGAATTCACGGTATTTTGCTTGATTCGCACGTAACAGTTATTAATTCCATATCCAATTAAGGGTGTACTGATTTCATTAAACCCGCAACATTACCCATTAAACGCAACCGTCTGATATTTATTTCAAGGATATTGACAAATATTTATGCATCCATGAGGTATACGAAGAAAAAACCTTAAATCTTTTAATTTTAGTAATTTCTCAATTAAAATTCCAATGGTTTTTCACATTGACTGTATCGTTAATTACAAGTAATATATAAAAATGTGAGAATTACGATAAATACTATACGTAGTACATAAATAATATTAGAAGTTTTACAAAGAACAATAACTATTTATAACATTTTATATAATTATTATGAAGTATCCATATTTCAAAGAAAGGAAAACCTTTCTACTTTCATTAAAACATTTATCGACGTATTTACATCTCTGTACAACGAATCCTAAAGAACGTCCCACTTTTTAATACTCGACTCATAAATCACCCATGAAAAATGTTCGAGCATCCATGACATGAAAGCAAAAAGCAAAACTCGTCTATCTGCCATTGATAATTGCAGGATCGCATTAATACGTATCTAACGTAACGCAGTTTCCAGCTTGAAGACAAACGATCCAATCTGTTAAGAGTTTACCACCCCTTGACGTGTGCGCTTTCGTATCATGGTTATACAGGGTGTCCCACAAATACTTTCCCTCTTCAAGGAGGGAAAGTAAGGCAGATAATGCAAATTTTTGACACGATTCATTTGTCAATGTTATTGAAAGAACTATGTTCGAAAATTAAAGAAAAATTGTAAAGTATCGTTGCTACTATGAGTACACTAGGAATGTGTGAATCACCTTTTGTAACCTATAGAAGAGCCTATTCTGCGATTTCCAAGGTTTCTCAATAAACACCATCTGTAATATTACCTAGAAAACTCTTACTCTAGGCCTGAGAACACCTAGAGTGAGATCAGAAGTTCTGTATGTGTGGATAATTGTTAGGCGAGTACTTGTGAGAATTTTAACCTCCCATGCGCCATCTGGTGACGAGCGTTAGATACACTATGACTTTCACAACGGATTAAACTTTGCGCATTGAAAACTTGTTATAACATTTATGCTGTCTTCCTTAATACGTTCGTTATATATTACACAAATATGATAAACACTATATTTCGTTTGCATAATGAAATGAAGTCCCATTTCAACAAAGATGTTTCAGAATTTATAATCATTTTAAAGGTTACATTCTATAAAATTGCAATTACCGTAACCATTACGGCTTTCAGTTTAATTACCGTTTAATTATTCTAAGTACCTACTATCCTGTACGTGCACAAAGTACAAACAACTGCCGCATTTTCACTTGAATCGCGCTCTAGAAGACCATCTTTTCTAGAGACACCCAGTATATTCTTCCAGGTCCAAATTTATTATCTACTAAAATACCCGTATTGTTGCAAGAAAGCGACCGTTGACTAGAAAAAGCCGCTGTTATTAATTCGCATTAACTTAATAGGTGCAGGTGAGAAGAGGGAAAGAAAGAAAGAAAGAGAAAGGTAAAACGGGAAGGAGAGGGAGAAACATTGTGTACATGTGTGTGTGTGTGTGTGCGAGAGAGAAAGAGAGAGAAACTATAGAGGGGAATAAGGTCACGCCAGAAAGTGAGTAATGAAGGCGGTTTATCTCCGAGGAGTAACTAGCGGTGTTCGTGTAATGGGGGCATTCATCAACGCGATCTCACATCGCCTTTCCGTTCGCGTTTCAGAGTCTCATGACGATTTGCACTACGAGCGGACGGTGAGAAACGGAGCTGAAACGATTTCTTTCTGTGCGCGTCTTGGAAAACCCGTTGCCACTTTGCCAGGTAAGATTAATGTCGTCGAAGCGGAGTTTTCGGCGCCATTAATTTTTCTGGCAAATTTATTAATTTTCCTTGCCCTTGCAATCGTTCAACGCAGTTTAAGATCTCGACGTTAAGCTGACGCGCGATCGTACTTCTTCTTATAACCTTCCTCTGCATTTTTCATACAGGGTACCTATTTTTCATTCTGATAGAAGCGATATTATGAAATTCAATTACACACCGTTCAATTATTATTCGGTATACGAAACGTTGATAAATAAAAGCGTTTAAGATTTTGATCGTCTGCTCTATGGTAAATTACTAATGATCAACTCTTAGGTTTTGAATAAATAACTAAATGAAAATATTTTCACTTTTGCTGCAACCAATAAAACACAATTTACAATTTTATTCCCATCGTTGTTTTTGGTATTAGCTGGCTTATAAATTAAAACTTATTCTGGTGTGAATCACTCCAGAATTTCTCACCTTGAAGATTAATGTAATATTAAAACAATTTTGGAGAAATATGTCCAATCTTGTCATGAATAATATAATACCGCTTATAATATTATTTAAATTCAGTTCAGAGTGTCAACTTTTCCACAAATTATATTTTGTCTCGTGCTGACTCACTAATGATCCAATTTGAAATTTAATATGGTTATAAATAATAAAATAAAGAAGAAATATTTCAAACTTTATCATGTTCAGAGTACTATCAGTCAATTTGTGCTTTGCCTAATACAGGGTTATTCAAAAAGAATGTACATGAATCTATACCGCAGTTCACCAAAGTCCATAACTGCGAAAAGACCAGTTTTCGTTCTTCGCGCATCTCTAGTGCGCATCTTCGCCCTGATTGGCGATACTCCCAAACGAAGTGGAAAGCGATTAGCAGAGAGCTCGCTGCGTTCCCCCACCATCTTCCAACCTGCGCGTCGCAGTTATGAACTCTGGTGAACTGCGGTATAGATCTTAAGTAATTGAAAATACAAGAATTACACTGAACATAAGAAATAATCTATCCAAATAGTTTCTGTTGCCCGAATAAACAAAATGTTAACAAGAATTGAAAATGACAGCGTCTGGCCAGGAATCACTTGCCATCCTTTATCTAAATAGAAGAAATTTATTGATATTGTTATGGGTGTATTTTGTACTGATGTTTTTGTTTTGAACAGCCCTATATTTCCAGACATTCACGGTAAATCAATAAAACTACACGATGAACATTTCGCCAACAAATAAAACGCCATCACCCGTGGTGGTACGCGTCATTGTTAGTATGTAATACCAACAAGATAACAATAATAACAACAACAACGACGGAACATCAACGACCAACTCGATATACAGGCGCGGAACACGCAACGAGCACAGCGGGCAGCCATATTATTACCGTCTTTTCGCAGTCCGCACCTCTGTAATTATAATTTTATTTTTATGGACATAAATTATACAGTCTGCCTAGCTGTGTCATTATATGGCATTTTAATTCAAGGCTGTAGACATAATGGTAACCCGCGCCACGGACTCGTTGCTCACCTGCCAGGTGAGGAGAAGAAGGAGAGAGCAAAGGAAGGGGTTCGAGGGAGGGGCATTATGGCGGGGAAACAGTCACTTTGCCTCTCTCGTTACTCGTGCGCTGCTACGTTTATTTTGCTGCTTCCTCTGCACTCTCATTTCCTTGCTTTCCGAGCTGACGATCAATCTGCATAACGCTCGGCCTTTTTTCAATTTGAATTATTACTCTGCTGTACATTCTACGAATTGGAAACACGTCAACCCGTCCGTTTACGATGAATAGAATTACAATGCACAGATCAAAGGCTTTATTGCTAACAATATTTTGCATTTGTGTTTGATCGAAGAAGTAATCTGCAAACATTTCCAGAGTATTTTCTTCTATGTTTTTAAATTTTTACACAAATTTATTAATCCTAATCTTTTATACACGTTATTAAGGGTTGATAACTGTTACCACTTGAATTATTTCAAAAACTATAACGGGTAGAAAAAACTTTATATAGATTCCTTTTTTAAAACCTTCAGCAAATTGAATTATCGCTCGTATTTTCAATTATTGAAATTACGCTTTTATTTACAATTTAATTTGATTACAGTACAGAAGTCGACAAATTTATAGTCTACAATTTTTGCAAAAACAGAAGGTAATTTGTGAATGTTATTAAAACTTGATGACTGTGCTGTAACGATTATCAACATCAACATTCAGTATCTTGTATTACATTATTTGCATTTGTTAATCTTTGAAGTTAAATTGTAATTTCATTTTCATTCTGACTGTCAGAGCGTTAATCATTTTATGATAGAACATTTTATGTTAATATGCTCAGAAGCGTTGAAGGAATCTGAAAGTTAAAACAACAGTATTTAAATGCAAATTTCAAAATCTCTACGTATATTTATGAATCAAGCAATCTAAACTAAAATAAAGTTACCAACACCTGATAATTTAATCTGATAAGAGCATACTTTAAGACGATAGAAGACGATGATTACAAAAAAGAAATTTTACTTGTAATATTTAAATAATACTGTTAATAGTAAACTAATGATAATTTATATGAATCAAATTGAAAAATCAAAAATTCTTATTACAGTCGGATGTCATTTCCCACTGCAATAGCCAATATATTAATGATACTTTTTGCACTTGAAACAAAATTCAATTAAATCAAAATAATAGATAGAAATCTTGGCAATTTTCTTATACTTCCGCTTCTTTATAATCCTAATGACCATAATCACGAACTGATTAGATCGAATGACGTTTCATCGGAATATAATTACATAAATGTTTCATAGACACAGATGAACCGTTTTACAACAAAATTACAAAAAGAAAAGAAGTTGATAACGACGGTCATTATCATTCGTAACGATAATAATTAAACGTTCATTTATAAAACTTGCTAAATAACTTTGCTGTTGACTGGTAATCAGGAAGAACGTATTAAGTTTTCACCGATATCTTGAACGTTTACTCATATCTGAGAACGTGTTCGACTCTATACAACCAAATGATATCCGTTAAATGTTGCACGACTGTAATTTAAGCGCAATTTTAAAAAGGCAGTACAGTGCTCGAGGGTCCTAATGATTATGTTGAATAATTGTGTATCGGCCTGTTGTTACCTTGTTACGACCCTCGGAATTATATTTAATTTGTAGCTATAAATACACGTTACTTTAGTTTACATTTGACAGGAATCCATAGTTTCTCGGAAACGTTGCTACTATTTCGTACATTACGCTTTTTCTTCTTTCAGAAACAATTATACAATGAAATTCCAGTTCTGGATTTAAAAAAAATTATTTTTAATGATTTGAGAAAAGAACGGTTCAAACAGAAATTCATTCAGTCGCGACAAATGTTAACTAATTACTATTTTCTTCCAATATTTTAACACTTGATGGGAATCTCTCAACGAAGATACAATTTAACACTTCAGTTCTGAAAAATTCATAAAATATATCATATTATTTAAATATGTTATATGACAAAAAAAATTATTTAAGATCACATGAAAGATTCCACAACCAAAGCATAATGTTAATCCAACAGATTCTAATATTTAATAATTATCCTAAAAACTAATCCAAAATGCCATAAAAAGCGTATATCACAATTAAAAAAAAAAAATAACAAAGCCAATAACCATACAGCGTCTCCGAGCTACTATTCATCAATGCCACTGGATGTACACCGTGCCTTTGTGACGCAGTTGCCCGTCGCTGTACTAAGCAATAGAATAAGTATGCACGCACTTGTGACGCTACTTTTGCAATGAAAGTGTTTTTTGACTAACTAACATTCAGATGAATACGTCAGATGAACTAAAATAAAATAATTCTTATGAGAGGATTGCGTTAATAAACACATGATAGAATAACAAAACAAGTTTAGAACAGCGAGTACCTCTGAAAGTATTTTTTTACCATTTGTTTTTGCAGATACAGTGAATATTGAAGTGACAATTGAAAATATTAATAAATGTTTCTATGATTTAATTTGTAAGCCGGTGAATACATCAATCAACAACCTTTCCATTCGTTCGTTTATCTCAATATAATTGAACATCGAATGGAAAGCGAAAGGGGCAGAATAACAATTTTTGCGCCAATTATACAATTGTCCCTTTTTTTATCGTAAAGCATCGAACGATTGAACCTGTAGTTTGCATATCCGGTTTATGTTTCAATCTGGTTTCATCAATATGAATAAACACCGGTACGTGAGGTAGCTCGCTGCTGCATTAATATGTATTGCCAATAAATCGATATCGATAATTAAAATCTGTGCTGGCCAGTAGGGGCCTCGCGTACACGTTTATATAAAAGTTCAATTTGTTACATGTAACTGCACGAGATGACTATAAATATTGCGTTACCCTTTTTAACTGGGGACCGTAAATCCAGGTGATTTATGCTCAGATCGTCTGTAAGGGGTCGAGAATTCTATGTATCACCGTACTACGTCCCAGGCTTTTCATATTTCCTTCCACTGGACAAATGTTTCCTTCCTTTTACGTTTAATTAGCATAATCTATGGATAGGGTATGTAAAAATCAAATTACATAAATAATGAAACTTTTGTTGTACTTATACTTTTCAAAAGTAAAAGTTAATTTTTCAATTTTTCAATTACTTGATATCTTATTATAAATAACTACTTGAAATAAGTAAACTTACTTATCTTACTATATTTAGATAACGGATACGAAACGAAAATATTCTTTTAGGAAGTATTCCAACTACTTCTCAACCATTGCAAAATAATGTAGACTTGGATCTGATTCGCGCATAGATTAATACGACACGGTCATTAAAGTGGCGAAAACAATTCCTGGACCACCGTCGACGTGTCGAGCATCTGGAACGAATGTTTCGCAGGACATTGATAAAAAAAAAAAAAAAATATTTTTACTGGCAGATGCGTGCTGACGTCGTTGTAACGGGGCCAACGGGTTTGAACATCAGTCACGAAAAAGAGAGATTAAAAAGAGAGAGAGAAACAGAGAGGGGAGAGAAGGCGAAAAAACGTCCGAGTAGATGGGTTGCCCGAATGAGTGGGTTGAGCGAGTGAATGACAGATAGACAGCAACCAGACAGAAGAGTGACAGCACGGCGGCGGGCTGACAGCTTGCCACTCTACCGAGCGTTCGTAACATCGAGTATTACCGGCTACCGTACGTGTTGATCCTTGTCCCATTCATCGACAAAAAGCGAGCGAACCTCCGATTTCGTACCACCTCGGCTGACAGGATCGATGATCATTTTTAAGAGGACCAGAATCGCTATACGATCTCGCTCGAATTTCGCGATGCAAGTATCATCGAGGATTCGATGTCAACCATATTTCCTTCACTGACATTTTTCTGCTGGAAGAATTACTAGGTCACGATATCTGTCTTGCGTGCATCGCAAGAAGATATAGGATGGATTCGTTTAAAATACAACAAAAGTGACAACTTTTGAGTAACTTTGATTAAAATTGTATCACAACAGAAGATTTTTATTGATGTCAACAGAGATTATTTGATACACCTAAATGTAGTACATTCGTAACTCTTGGAATGTTATTATCGCTTTGTTATCAATGTAAACCTATTTCATTTTGTTTGAATGCTTGAAGGAATTTAGTGTACACATCGGTAATAAATAATATAGACAGATAATGTAAGACAAGACAGACATAAATATTGTATTCAAACGAAAGTAGGACATACCGAACACTTATTCTTATTCTTATGGAAATAAAAATGTTTTTGCAAATCAAATGTTTATTAAATAATATATATTAAAGATATGTGAACGAGAACAATAATCCCATACATTTTCATCATAAATTTCAAAAGTATGTAAATATGAAAAGAAAATATTTCTGGATATTTTTGCTTAAGGCATAAAGTAGTACTACTACTACATACACAAGATAAACACAAATTTCTAAGATGTCAGAACTACTATAGGTAGTAATCGTGAATGGTATGCCAACGAGACAATAATTTAAACACTTTATTTAGCGTATTACTGCCTGCTCGTTCTCCATTATTCTAAAATATCTTACCTTACATTCCTTAATAATTTCACAATTTTTCTCGCATTTAAGTGAGATTTATTTAATATTCTAAGACCTGCAGCAAGATAACTGCATCCACAGACTTAAAAGATTAATCTTTGTAGTTGAATAATTCAAAACAAGACGCCATAAAGTTGCTATACATAATGTACTATATGTTCTCTATTCATCAATAGAATATTTTACTTTCCGTACATTTATATAGATTCATATATCTCTGATGATTATTTTTGTTCCACACGTTACGTTTTATCGCATACCGTTTTGCAGTTCGTAAATTTCGTCCAAACGGGATTAACACGTTCTGTTTTTCGAATTGGCAGATGTTGAATCTGTAAATAAAACGGTGCTTTCACTTTTACAAACATAATTTATTGCTTCTCGAAAGCACGTGTGTAGAAAAGTTTACGAACTGCAGAATTTTAGGAGGGTCGTTTGGTACGATCATTTATTTTTGCAAACGCTTTACACTGTTTCTGGGAAATACTGAAATGTAAATAAATATATTGTTTCGTTCTTCTTAAATTCTTTCTCGATGTTGGAGACTATTTATAATTTTTTTTTTTTAAGAATGACATTATTTATAGGTATACAGTTTTGAATAACTTATAGCTTTAAAAGCTGTATGCTTTTTACTGAATATTATTTTTACCAAAGTTTTATGAATGAATCCACCATTCCATGTGTGACAGTCCTATGGCTTGGATATAATAATTTAAAAAAAAGAAAATACAAATGCTACATCCTATTTTTAATTGAGGCAACCATGATAGCAATTTAGCTTAGAAACCATGAAAAAATTTTCCTTGAAGAACCGTAGATTTTATTTTATGGAACGAGGACAGTACAAAACATCGGTATAATTTATCAAAGATAAAGTTTACTACAAATTTCATGAACTCTTTAGAATTAAAATAAAAAACCTATGAATCGT